TAAGAAAGACGTGGAGGTCTATCATTCATGGGGTCATCGTGAACTGAAATTGATTTGTTGCCACTTAACAACACATCCAAAGGAGTAACGTGGCTAGCCTCTGGTCCACTATCTTCTGAAACAAGTTAAAAAGAGAGTTTGCTCTAGTATATACTCTGCCTTCCAGGAAAATGCTTGAACTGAAGGCGAGGTTTAGGCAATGAGGTTCCAAGGGAACTGGGCTAGGGCTCTTAGTCTGCAATATGACAGTATCAAATCTAAAGAGCACACATTTGGATTAAGGTTTCTATTGATTTTTTAAGCATGCAAGTATTTTTATACAAACTGCTAAGGAAGTAAAATATAAGGTATAACAGTTATAAGATGTAACAGCAAAGACTAATGCCATGTCATATAATCATACAGTTGGAAGAGACCTTGGGCCATTCAGTCCAACCTCCTACCAAGAAGCAGTAAAACTGCATTCAAAGCATCCCCGACAGATGATCATCCAGCATCTGTTTAAAAGCCTCCAAAGAAGGAGCCTTCACTACAGTCCAGGGCAGAGAGTTCCACTGCTGAACAGTTAGGAAGTTCTTCCTCATGTTCAGGTAGAATCTCCTTTCCTGTAGTTTGAAGCCATTGTTCTGCGTCCTAGTCTCCAGGGCAGCAGAAAACAAGCTTGCTTCCTCTTCCTTATGGCAGCCTTTCACATATTTGTACGTGGCTATCATGTCTCCTCTCAGCCTTCTCTTCTGCAGGCTAAACATGCCCAGCTTTTTAAGCCGCTTCTCACAGGGCTTGTTCTACAGACCCTTGATTATTTTAGTCACCCTCCTCTGGACACATGCCAGCCTGTCAACATCTCCCTTCAATTGCAGTGCCCAGAACTGGATGCAGTATTCCAGGTGTGGTCTGACCAAGGCAGAATAGGGGGGTTGCATGACTTTCCTGGATCTAGACACTATTCTCCTATTTATGCAGGTCAAAATCCCATTGGCTTTTTAAGCTGCCACATGACATTGTTGGCTCATGTTTAACTTGTTGTCCACGAGGACTCCAAGATCTTTTTCACACGCACTGTTGTCAAACCAGGCATCCCCCATTCTGTATTCATTTTTTCTGCCTAAGTGGAGTATCTTACATTAGTCCCCACTGAACTTCATTTTGTTAGTTTTGGCCCATCTCTCTAATCTGTTAAGATGCTTTTGAATTCTGCTCCTGTCTTCTGGAATATTGGCTATCCCTCCCAATTTGGTGTCATCTGCAAACTTGATGATTGTGCCTTCTAACCCTTCATCTAACTCATTAATAAAGATGTTGAACAGGACCGGGCCCAGGGCAGAACCCTGCTGATGGCACTCCACTCATCACTTCTTTCCAGGATGAAGAGGAAGCATTGGTGAGCACCCCCTGGGTTCACTCACTTAACCAATTACAGATCCACCTAACCATAGTTTTGACTAGCCCACATTTGATTCAAGGCTTGTAACTCTATAACTGTAGAGTCACAAGCCTTCATGCCACCTGGCTGTTTAAAAGAAAGAGACCCATCTGGATTATTAAGCAGGAACAAGAAGCTGCACAAACTGCAGCACATAGTACTATATTGGGCCCTGCAGGAAGTGGTTTTCTGAACTCACTATGAGGCTAGTGAGGAAGCGTTAGATCCTAATCTCCCATTCTGCATTTCTACAAGGCAGACAGCGAGGGGTATATGCAAAAAGAAAAATTTGCAATGGAAACCCAATTCTAATGAGCAAAGACTTTCATCAGCTCATATAACCGTGCTCTGTTCTACTCTTCTTCCTCTCTTTGCTGCCTAAGAGGAAAAGGCATTGGGTAGCATTTCCCAGCGGTTCAAATCTGGGGAGAGTGAGTTGAGCTCCTTCTGTCAGCTCCAGCTCCCCGTGCGGGGACATGAGAGAAACCTCCCACATGGATGGTAAAACGTCAAACATCAAGGCATCCCCTGGGCAACGTCCTTGCAGACGGCCAATTCTCTCACACCAGAAGCGACTTGTAGTTTCTCAAGTCGCTCCTGACACGGAAAAAAGAAAGAAAAAAAAAGCATTTCCCATTTTCAGCAAGGGCCCTTGTCTTATGGGAATATTTATAAGGGGCCAAAACAAAACAGTAGATAGGTTCTCTTTGAGCAATCAAGCTGCCTGAGGCCTAAAGGAAGTAAGAGCGAGAATCAGGAAATGCCAACTCCCTTTGCCCAGGTGCAACGTTATCGTAGCTTTGGCTTCTGCTGCCAAAGGGCACAGAAGGCAACGTGCCCTGCTTTTCTTACAGATACGGTGCCTGCTTGTCTACAAGGCAAAAGGAGAACCAAGTTCAGGAGAGAGTAACAGGATTAGGGGTATAGAAGGGAGCAAATTGAGAACATCACCCCTGAATAAGAACTCTGCCCTAACAAGACATTTTCCTTCAGTCCCCAAATGTTCAGCATTATAGTATCTTCAAATATCAGTGGAGCATTTAGTGATAGTTTAAACATCCAAATGTTATCCAAGTTACTTACTTATTTACTTACTTTTTTTCTAACTTTCTCCTGATACAGGGACTCCAAGCGAATGTAAGCATAGCAAACCTTAAAAGTTCTAGATGTGAATAATTTCCAGTGTCTCACTCTCTGCAATGCCAAAAATTTGAATACTAAAGGAAATTCTCATTAGAGGGGGACCAAATTATTGGGGGGAGTGTGCCCTCATCCCACACCTCTGCAGTTCCACTTCTGAATAAGACCCACAGCTTGGAAAAGTTGCTTATCTTTATTTGTCAAAGGGAAGCATTAATTTGCCGGATCAATTCCTCCTGGTACAAAAGCGAACACAGGGCCCTTTGGAAAGCTGGCCTCTGACCTAACAGGTGTTTCAGTACCGGTGCCAACAAGCAAGCACTTTGCACATACTCAGACACACAGACACTTCCTCTTTATTTCCTAACTGAAACTGAAATAGAAGCGAGGAAGTAAGAAACGAGCTCTCGCTAATTTATATTCTGAGGAGGAAAACATCTTATACAACTTTGCAAACAAGTTTGGCAAGGAGGACAAATCGTCTGGCCGGAAAATCAAACCTCAGTGTTTTGGACTTCAACTCCAAGAATTCCTAACAGCCTCAGCTTAAGCAGCTAAGGGGGGGGGGGGGGGAAGGAAGGGCCTGAGACTGTTACAAACTATGGGAGTTGAAGTCCACAACACCTGGAGGGCCCGAGTTTGCCCATGCCTCACCTAGACGCAAACCCCAGGGCAGTGAAGTCCAACCAGAGGTTCAGGATCTCTCTCACTTTTCATAACTGAGGAGGTTCCTCCAGGCTTGCCACTGAAATTACTGTCATGGCATTATTATTATAATATTATATAACAAAATTTTAAAAAAATCTGTTCCTGGTTTGAAAGTGTTGTTTCCTGTTCAGCTGTGTAGTCCTTACTTTGAATGTAATTGCTATACTCTATACCAGGCATGGGCAAACTTGGGCCCTCCAGGTGTTTTGGACTTCAAGGTGTTTTGGAGTTGAAGTCCAAAGCACCTGGAGGGCCCGAGTTTGCCCATGCCTCCTCCAGACACTCCATTTTTGTGGCTCTGACAAACTGCTGAATTTTTTGAGACTCTATGAGAGATTGGGTTGTATGCTTTTTGGGCTGTATGGCCATGTTCTAGAAGCATTCTCTCCTGACATTTCACCTGCATCTATGGCAGGTATCCTCAGAGGTTGTGAGGTCTATTGGAAACTAGGAAAATTGGGTTTAGATATGGAGAGTCCAGGCTGGGAGAAAGAATGTTTCACACCTAGCTCCAACAGGAACAGCTAATCTCCTCCCAACAAAGGATTCCCCCAGGCAGTAACAAGCCACACCTAAAAACTGTCAGGCCACCAAATGCTAATCAAGGTGGCCAATTGTAACATTCACACCTAGCTCCAACAAACAAGAGTTCTTTCTCCCACCCTGGCCCTTCCACAGATATATAAACCCAATTTTCCAAGTTCCAACAGATCTCACACCCTTCAGGATGGTGGCCATAGATGCAGGTGAAATGTCAGGAGAGAATGCTTTTAGAACATGGTCACACAGCCCAAAAAACCTACAACAACCCAGTGATTCCGGACAGGAAAGCCTTCGACAACCTATGAGAGATTCATTGAAAAACTATAGCAAAATGTGCTGCAGGGTGTCCCGCAAAAACAAGATTTTCCATTCTGTTAATGATAGAACCAATTAGGAAATTGCATGAATAACCTAGGAACAAAAAATGTGTTACATAGTGTAATTAATATGGCAAAAGCTGCCTTGCCTGCCTGTCAAATACAGCGCCAAATAGCATTACTTTCTCCTCTTGGCTGGATGGCCCAAGACAAGACAAGTGGTGCATCCACCATGCAGAAGGAATACAGTCTGACACCACTTGACCTGTCATGGCTCAACGCTCTTGAATCAGGCAAAGAGTTGTAGCTTTCCGAAGACCTTGAGCCTTCTCTGCCAAGGAGTGCCTCATCAGAAGACACATAAGGCAGTGAAAGCGGTGTCAAAGTGCATTCACTTCACTGTGAAGATGCAGCTAAGGCAGGCATGGGCTAACTTCGGCCCTCCAGGTGTTTTGGACTCCAACTCCCACAAGGCTGTTAGGAATTGTGGGAGTTGGAGTCCAAAACACCTGGAGGGCCGAAGTTTGCCCTTAACTGACCTAAGGTGACACTTCACCCACAAAGGGAAGGAGAGACTTGTTCCAGAAGCATTCTCTCCTGACGTTTCGCCTCCATCTATGGCAGGCATCCTCAGAGGTTGTGAGACCTCAAAACCTCTGAGGATGCCTGGCATAGATGCAGGCAAAACGTCAGGAGAGAATGTTTCTGGAACATCGCCACACAGCCCGGAAAACTCACAACAACCCAGTGATTCCGGCCACGAAAGCCTTCGACGGTGCCTTACTGCGGTGGGAGAGGGGCAGCAAGCAGCAGCGCGCTCTGCACATGCTCTACCGCGCCCTTGGCTCCAAGAGGAGCTCTCTACTCACGTTCAGAGCCGTCGTCGCGGGATCTCAAAGCGTTCCGGAGTCGGCAGTGCCTCTGCCCCGAAGCAGAGAAGAATAGTTGTCTCTCTCTCTCTCTCTCTCTTTCTTTCTTTCTTTCTCTCTCTCTCTCTCTCTCTCTAGAGCAGCCCCGCCCCTCCTGCCCCCTCTTCCTTCTGCTGCTGCTCTTTCTTCTCTCTCTCCTTTGGTGGCTGCTTAGAGAAACCTCCTTCTCAGCCGGGACACCCCTCCGAAGCCGCGGAGTGGGCGCGTCCAGCGGTGGCCCCGGGCGGAGAGGAAAGGCGCATCGAGGCTGGAAAGGAGGGGGGCGGGGGGCGGAGAGAAAGCTGACTGAGAGCCTAGAGGTGGAGCTATGTCGCCGGCCGGGCCCTTTGAAAAGCCGCTTCAAGGCAAGGAGAGGCGCGGGGCACATCCATTTATGCACATTAAAGGCAGCAGATGTATTGCCCTAGTCCAGGCATGGGCACTCTCCGGCTTTCCTGGTCTTTTTGGACTTCAAATCCCATAATTCCTAACAGCCTAGCAAAGTGCTCTTCCAGCAGTCACCAGCCAATCCCTGCCCAATGCCAGAAATACAGCTTAACATTAGAAAATATTGACCATTTCCGCTACCTTGGCAGCCACCTCTCCACAAAAGTCAACATTGACACTGAACTACAACACTGCCTGAGCTCTGCGAGTGCAGCATTTTTCTGATGATTTTGTGTTCCCTTGTTGAAAGGCTAGTAGTTAGCCAACTACTATGAATATACAAGTGTTTGTGTAACTTTCTGATCTATGGGAGTGCCCCCAACTTGCATCTGGCCATTGTCGCCTGCCTGGTGGTTAATAATGAGCTCTGTGAGTGCAGCATTTTTCTGAAAGGAACACGGAGTGCTTGAGGACCAGGACATCCATAAGGATACCAAGGTGCTTGTTTATAAAGATGTTGTCCTCCCAACCCTGCTATATGCCTGCAAAATGTGGACTATTTACAGACGACACATGCAACTCCTGGAATGATTCCTTCAGTGTTGCCTCCAAAAAATCCTGCAAATCTCTTGGGAAAACAGGCAGACTAATGTCAGAGTGCTGGAAGAAGCAAAGATCACCAGCACTGATGCGACGGTCCTCCACCATAAGCTCCGCTTGTCTGAATGCCCGACCACCATCTCCCAAAGCAGTTATTCTACTCCGAACTCAAGAACGGAAAACATAATGTTGGAGGACAGGAAAAGAGATTTAAAGATGTGCTCAAAGCTAACCTTAAATAAAAACTGTGACATAGACACCGAGAACTGGAAGCCCTGGCCCTTGAGCACTCTAACTGGAGGACAGCTGTGACCAGCACTGCTGTAGACTTTGAAGAGGCACGAATGGAGGGCAAAAGAGAGAAACATGGCAAGAGGAAGGCGCATCAAGCCAACCCCGACCAAGACCGCCTTCCACCTGGAAACCGATGCCCTCACTGTGGGAGAACATGCAGGTCAAGAATAGGGCTCCACAGTCACCTACGTACCCACCACCAGGACACCACACTTGGAGGACAATCTTACTCTGACAACGAGGGATCGCCTAAGTAAGTAAGTAAGTAAGTACTGGCTGTTAGGAATTGTGGGAGTTGGAGTCCAAAACTCCTGGAGGGCCAAAGTTTGCTCATGACTGGACTAATACGATCCCTATCAATACCAATCATTTTATAAAGTTTCCATTCATTTTTATTTTAAACTTAGCTTCCTACTGCATTCAGTGGTCAGTATAGATGGGGCAACAATGCAACTATGGGCAGGAGATGTGAATGAGAGACCTTAAACTAGGCCCACGAGTGCACATAGGTGAGCCACATTGCATGGCGAAACCCATTAAAGGACGAGTGCTCCAGCAATCCGCACTTGCCCATTACTGGGCCAGAAGGAGTCAAAAGGAATAACTATATCTCCCATCACAGTGAATCTTGCAGATCCTGGAACTGTAGGCAATTTCTGCATGTAATAAGCACCACCCAGGTCTGAAGCTGGTTCCTGAACTTTGTGTGCGCTCAGTTCCATGTTGAGGTTTCTTCATCTTCTGCCACTTTCATCCTGCATAAGTGGTCAATGTTGATGTGCCCTCAGAAGCCGAATGGGAACCATTTTCAACGGGCTCATGAGGATGACCCCAAACTAACAACATGCACAAAAAGTAGGGATAGAGGCCTACTGCTGGAGTCTGAAAATGCAAGCTGTTGGAAAGAAAACACTGAAGTCTCCAAAGCTCCTGGTGCAGAGTGCAGTGTATGTGACATAGTAAAAGTAAAGGTTTTCCCTTGACATTAAATCTAGTCGTGTCCAACTCTAGGGTTGGTGCTCATCTCCATTTCTAAACCAAAGAGCCGGCATTGTCCGTAGACACCTCCAAGGTCATGTGGCCAGCATGACTGCATGGAGCACCATTACCTTCCCGCCAAAGCGGTACCTAATGATCTACTCACATTTGCATATTTTTGAACTGCTAGGTTGGCAGAAGCTGGGGCTAATAATGGGAGCTCACCTCATCCCGCGAATTCAAACTGCTAACCTTCCAGTCAGCAATTTTCTCAGCTAAGCGGTTTAATGCACTGCGGCATGAATCCTCTGCCACAAGAAGAATCCAAAAGATGGAGGCTGTGATATAGATCCACATCATTGTGGCATTTTTAATGGCACTAGCACGATGTCCTTTGTAGAACCTGGCACTTGGTTGCTTATTAAAAACCAAATCATCCCCAAATATTGGATATTCCAATTGGGGTAGCTCACCATGGTATATTACCACTGGGTAAATCCAGTCCCCTGCAGGAGAGATGGAGTGAGGTCTGATCGCATATTACTTTTACAAAATTCCAATATGTCAGTCCTACATATGGTATATGGTATTCATTATCTATCTATCTATCTATCTATCTATCTATCTATCTATCTATCTATCTAGATATACCATATGGTATATGGTATTCATTATCAAGAATAGGGAGATCTCAGTGTGCTATCATTGGTTGAGCTGGGTAGGGCTGCTGGGAAATGTAGGTCAAAACATCTGGAGGCCACCCTTGATTTATATCCTTCCTTTCTACCATGGCAACGAAACCACAAAATCTCTAAGCACCTATTGGTTTAGCTCTAGCAAGGATGGTGTGTCTCACTTATGTGCTGTTATGCTATTTTCAAGACTAATGGTCTGTGACAGGAAATTCAACATTAAGGAACAAGAGCAGGAAAAAGGCTTTTAGGCCTGGTCCAGATACACACAAACAACAACATGGTGCCAAGTGCAAATGCAACCACATCTAGGCTCTGTCTGCATAAATGGCAATCGACAAACTTGGATTTAGCCACCATATACTAGATCGATTTATCTATATGATTTTTTATGTTATTTTTCAACAACAGGACCTCAATCGGAAAGTGCTTCCCATGAATGTTTTGCCACATGAGACAGCTTCTGACACAGTATAGACAAACTGCAATCCTGTGGCCACAAGTGTGTGCTTTTATGTGGCCCACTTCCAGATTACCCCACTTCTCACCTAAAAGGGGATAAACCGCCTCTTCCTTAAGCCTCTAGGAGCAATAACTCATCTTTTAAATCAGGCATGAGCAAACTTGGGTCCTCCAAGTGTTTTGGACTCCAACTCCCACCATTCCTAACAGCCTCAGGCCCCTTCCTTTCCCCCCTCAGCTGTTTAAGCATCGCACACATCCCCTTTAACATAACAAACACCTTTCCCCAAACCAGAAGATATCCCCTCAGTTACATCTCGCTTTTACATTCTCAACTCTTTAAGCAGGCTATGAACCCCACACAGAATAGATGCAGTGGGGGGATCGGTCCCTGGATGTGGTGAAGTTGCCCACCCAGGTTTTAGCAGTCTGTATTGCAAGGAGCCACCACAACACAGTTTGCAGAAGTGAATTGAGCTTCCGCTACAGAACTGGCTTTTCCATTCGTCAGTGAAGCAACTGCGGCAGATGCTGTGGGAATGTGGTAGGACCGGCCTCTCTCCAGATGTTTCTCAATCCTGGGTTTTCTTTGCACCCTAGACAACTGGCATTCACTGTTGTACACTTCATCATAATAACGAATGAATCCACTTTAAATCTGGTTGCTGCCTCCTGCAGAATTCTGTGGTTTGTAGTTTGGGGAGGAGCCTTTAACAGCCTCACTAAACTACAAACCTCAGAATTATGCAGGAGGCAGAAACCGGATTTAAAGTGGATTCGTTCTCTAGTGTGATGAAGTACTGTGACAGTATATTGACCGAAAGGTCTCAGGTTTGAATCCGGGGAGTGACGTGAGCTCTCACTGTTAACCCCAGCTTTGGCCAACGTAGCAGTTCGAAAACATGCAAATGTGAGTAGATCAATAGGTACCGCTCCGGTGGGAAGATAACGGCACACCATGCAGTCATGCTGGCCACATGACCTTGGAGATGTCTACAGACAACACTGACTCTTCAAATTAGAAATGGAGATGAGCACCAACCCCCGGAGTCGGACACGTCTGGACTTAGTCAGGAAAAACCTTTACCTTTTCTATACATCATCCTAAAATGACTCTATGGAATTATAGGCTATTGAATATATAAAATAATATTAATAGTCTATTTTTCTTTGTGTTAGTGAATGAAATCATTGCTGATTTCATTCAGTAGCTGTAATTTCTCCGTTCGCCTCCATTGTCAGTCTTGAAGGCCACATTTAAGCGGCAGCTTCTCTTGCGGGTGATTTAGTAATCGAAAGCTATCCAAACTCAAAGTAGAACGGAAGTGGGAAAAGGGAGGCAGTGGTTCCACCTACTTTGTGGGATATAGATGTCAGTTCCTACCTTGTGGAATTATGTCATGAGTCTGACCTGCAATAATAATCCTGCCAGCTCCCAATCTGCCATTTGGACTATCAGCCAGTAATCTGCAAAGGGATTTGCAGCCTTATCCCTGGACTACTTGCTGGTATCACATGCGCCAAAAGAAATACGCCTGACACCTGAAACACCCTCCCACCCACATAGTAACTGCTCCCCTTATTTTCTACCTGGTTATCTGTGTTAGATCTCTTAGCTGTTATATTTTTTTAATTTAAGTTTGATGTGAAATCTGTTGACATCGCTTTCCAAACAGGCATGCAGCCTCTTGTTAAACTGAAGTCTGTTCTGGGTGGAGTGATATGCTTTCTCTGCAAACAAGACATGGCAAATGTTAAACAACTTGTTTATAATAATGTTGGGGCTGGAATTGTGTGACGTGAACACTGTGGTGTAACTTAAGCAAACCTCAGAGCAAGGATCTGTCCTCAGCGCAGGTTCCATACTGTGTTTGCAGATGACATGCCATTGCCTCTGAAAGACTTTGTTGGCTCTCCCAGGGGTTTCTTGCTATCCTGTGATTGCATCCTGTCTCGAGGTAAATAACAAGTCATTTCCAAATCCAAGGGACAATGGGCCATGTGAGATGTCAAGCAGAACATCTTTCCCACTTCTCTCATCCTGGCCACCCAGCCCCAGTATTATATGCATTGATCCAAAATGATAAATGCTGCCCTGTTCTGCCATCCAGCCACCAGGGATTCTGTACTTCACAAAAGGTGAGCGTTTAAAGCTGGTGTGGGTGATGGGTTGCATATGGCTCTGCAGACCCAAAAATGGGCCCTTTAAACTTCTCTGATCCTCCTCCAAAATCTCTAGACCAGGCATGGGCAAACTTGGGCCCTCCAGGTGTTTTGGGCTTCAACTCCCACAATTCCTAACACCCTCAGGCCTCAATTGTGGGAGTTGAAGTCCAAAGCATCCAGAGGGTCCAAGTTTGCCCATGCCTGCCTTACATCCTATGAAGAACCATGATAATTTCCAGATAATTTCTTTTCCCAAACCAGCAAATGTGGTGGCTTACTCCTCTTAACAGCTAACTCCTGCCCAACAGCCAAATATCAGTCCAATAGCAGTTGCAAATGATGTGCTGAAATGCAATTATGCAGCCTTCTAAAGTGGGTGTGAGGTGAAAATGGCCCCTGCCTCCTTCATAGGTGCCAGACCTTGATTTATGATGTATTTTGCAAATGATGAGCATTCACAGTTATGTCCTCAGGGCTTGTTCAAGACCATTTGCTGTAAATCACTCTTTCCACATTGGAGCCCCTGATGATGTAACGGGTTAAACCCTTGTGCTGGCTGAACTGCTGATCTGAAGACCTGAAGATCAGCGGTTCGAATCTGGGATGCAGGGTGAGCTCCAGTCTGCCAGCTCCAGCTTATCATGCAGGGGCATGAGAGAAGCCTCCCACAGGATGGGAGCATCCGCTGGGCAACATCCTTGCAGACAGCCACTTCTCTCACACCAGAAGCGACTTGCAGTTTCTCAATTCACTCCTGATACAAAAAAACAAAACAAAACAAAAAACAAAAACAAAACTCCACAACATTTATTTCTGCCTGAAGTAACTGCATCACTGCCTAATTGTAGGGCTTACCCAGGTTGCCTCAAATCCCTATTTCTGAAGAAAAGCAGGATAAAAACCAAAATAAATAAAATGTGTGTGTGCGTGCCTTCAAGTAAATTGTCAGCTTATGGCAATCCTATGAATTTCATAGGGTTTCCATAGCTGGATTTGCCAATTCTTTCCTCTGAAATACGGTCCAAAGCACCTAGTATTAATTGGCATTCTTCCATCCAAGTGCTAACCAGGGATGATCCTGCTTAGCATCCACAGTTTATGGCTTTATGGTGTTTGGGGACTACCTTTATTGAGTTCTGTCCAACAGGGAGGCGTTTGGGATTTATTTATTGGGCCTTCTCAGGCAGAAAGTGGGCTTTCTCTTTTCATACAAGCTTAGTCTTAAGAATATTTGCTGAGAAGTCTCACCGGGTTCAATGGAAGTCACTCCCAGTTGCAAGGAGTGTAGTTTCAGTAGGCCCTACTAAATGGGCTGAGGGCCATGTTCATTATGTTGGACTATAACTCAGTCAGCATAGTGAAGAATGCTGAAAGTTGGATGTAATTCAGCCACATAGAGAGCAGGGGTGGGAATCATAGAGTCCCCAACATTTTATTGACCTACAGCTCCCAGCATTCTTGACCATTGGCTGTGATTACTGGAGCTGCTGGCAGCAACATTTGGAGAGCTGCACAATTCCCATCCCTGACCTTGAGGGCTATACTTTCCCCATCCTTGCCTTAGGGAAGAAGGAAGGTGGTTCTCTGAAGCATCTTGCTTTTACTGTATTGCCAGTCAGTGGCTCTGTGTGAGCTTCAGCACCACCTGCAGGTCAAGAAGAGTGCTGCATGGCAATGCATCCCATCCGCAGCATGAGTTTGTGCAATGTGTGTACCATTCTCATACAATGGATTGCTTTCAGGTATTTAAAAAAAACCCACAGAACAATGTGTGCAATCATATATTTCAACCATGCCGTTGCAATACAAATAACGTTAACACTGGTAAAACCTGAGAACAGCCTTTTTGACAAAGGACATTGTAACCACTAATAACCTTACAAAGATGGGATTTGCTTGCAAATTGAGCAGTAGTTGAAATGCGCGGCCAGATAGAAAAGAACTCCAAGTAGAGAAGCCTAAGACTGCACTGCAGAGAAAGCCTTGAATGTGCTAAATTCACCCATATGGAAATGGAATTGCTGCTCTTTTAGAGAGACGTGGAAGAATAGTCAGCCCTCTGTATTTATGGATTCCATATCCATGGATTCCACCATCCATGGCTTCAAAATATTTTTACGGATTCCAAAAAGCAAATTTTGATTTTGCCATTTTATATAAAGGACATCATTTTACTATGCCATTGCATATAATGCGGCTGGAGCATCCATGGATTCTGGTATCCATGAGGGGTTCTAGAACAAAGCCTCAGCAGAGACCAAGAACCCACTGTATTTAACTTCAAAAGATTGGAAAAATAGCCAGCACTTGGAAGTTATTTTTTTAGAACACAACCGCCAGAATCCTCCATGGATTTATGTGTTTGGGGACTCTAGGAGCTACAGTCCGCACAAATAACTAACCTTCCGATGCACTGGAAATATCTTGGTGTTACTATTCTGCAGAACTGCAAGCGTTATCCCAATTAGACATCTCTCAGCAAATGTGCTAACTGGACTTACACTGAAACCATCAATAAAATGGCAGTTGATACCTTCTTGGATTCAGAGGATGTGTTGAGCTATCTACAGGATTCTCCAGCTCTTTTCATAACAATCAACCATCAGCATCACATCCTAGCCAATATTGTTTTGGTTTCACACATGCTTGAGAACATCTTTTTACTTATTCTTATTGTTCATATGTAAACTATCTTGTGGTTCTGGCATAGTTCATCTGCTTCTCCTGTGCCTAAGAGTCCGAGGTTGTAAATGGGTATTGTTTCTGCAACTCCAGGATCCGGATCAAAACGAGGCAAGCAATTCCCAGGAAAAACAGCCACAACAAAACCCAGTAGTAGGTGGGCATTGAGAACCAGGCTCTGCAAAGCTCCATTTTAGATCCTTTTGACCTGCCAAGAATAAATAGAGAAATTATTATCCAGTACAATCAGAAATCTATCAATCTGATGCATTTTATAGTACAGGAAAGCTCAAATCCATGAAATGTGTGCAGATTTATCCATTAAAATTTTCATCAGTTCCTTCTTGAGATAAGCTTTGTTTTCTATTACAACTTTCTCTGTCCCTTGCTGCCTGCCTTTATGAAGTTCAAAATGTCCAGAGGGCCCAAAGTTCTCTAAGGCTGGATCTACACTGCCAGATAATGCAGTTTGAACTGCTTTATATGGATCTGTAAAGTAAAGTAAAGGTTTTCCCCGACATTAAGTTGAGGTGTGTCTGACTCTGGGGGTTGGTGCTCATCTCCATTTCTAAGCCGAAGAGCCGGCGTTGTCCATCAACACCTCCAAGGTCACATGGCCGGCATGACTGCATGGAGTGCCGCCACTTTCCTGCAGGAGCAGTACCTATTTATCTACTCATATTTGCATGTTTTTTAATTGCTAGGTTGGCAGAAGCTGGGGCTGACAGCGGAAGCTTACGCTGTTCCCTGGATTCAAACCTGTGACCTTTTGGCCAACAAGCTCAGCAGCTCAGTGGTTTAACCCTCTGTGTCACCGGGGTCTCCTATATGGGTCTGTACTAACCATATAATGCAGTGATTCTCAACCTGTGTGTCCCCAGATGTTCTGGCCTCCAACTCCCAGAAATCCTAACAGCTGGTAAACTGGCTGGGATTTCTGGAAGTCGTAGGCCAAAACACCTGGGGACCCACAAGTTGAGAACCACTGATATAATGCAATTCAAACTGCATGATATGGCAGTGTAGATCCAGCCCCTGTCTGCTTTGTAATGTCACAGGTTTAATGAACTAAGAAGCCTTCATAGAAATTATCTTTTAGTCGCACAGTCATTTGGCTGTCCTTTTCCAGCTCCACAATTTTTGGCAACCAGAACTGTGGGTTATAGAATGTTTTCATTATAAACGTGAAGAACAAAGAGAACTAGAACAATCCAGTAAGCTTGCAACCATGCCAAAAGAAGAGTGATCCTATTAGTTCTCCTTCCACCAGAGATGGATGTATGTATGAAGATCCATTCCAAGAGGACTTGGTCTGCATTGAAAAGTTCCAGCAGAGTTCCCATTCAATTCAGAGAAGATATTGGAGGAGAGGTAGTAAAATGCAAAGAAGGAAATTGCTACCCTGTGGCGATGGATTCACCTGCCAGCCCTGATTTCCACCGTTCTTCTCACTAATGGTTGTAATGAGCAATTGGTCCTTGTTTGTGACATAATTTCAAAATTACTAAATATGGTGTTGTGGATGGCAAGATGGCATTCACTCACAGGAAAGTATCAGTGTCCAGGTCCTCACACTCTTCATTGACCTCCTCACCACCCAGTTCTTCACTAGGCTCTTCTGGTACAGTTTGGCTGATGTTGATTCTCCTCCTAAATTCAGAACCACTCCTGGGAGGAAAGAGAGTGGGGATCCTTTAATGCTTGTTTCACACCTCAGAAAAAGAGTGTTAAATGTAGCTAGAGATGGGAATTTATGGCTGACAATGCTAAAGAAGGAAATTTCTTTGAGAACTCACATTTCTGAAGCTCGGAACACCTTATATTATTATTATTATTATTATTATTATTATTATTATTATTATTATTTCCCACATTTCCAGAGGCGGCCCTAGGTAATTTTCAATGGTAAGCAAACAGTATTTTGGCACCCCACCCCCCCAACCAATCAGTGATATATATTTTCTGTTCATCGTGGGAGTTCTGTGTGCCATATTTGGTTAAATTCCATCATTGGTGGAGTTCAGAATGCTCTTTGATTGGAGGTGAACTATACATCCCAGTAACTACAACTTGCATATGTCAAGGTCTATTTTCCCCCAAGAGTGCCTCAAGAGCGTCCCTGGGCACAATCAACTATACTGCAAATGCTTACTTTGCGTAATGGTTGAGCCGCCCCTGCCGCTTCGCCTTTCTCAACCCCCGAGGGGGATTCAGGGCGGCTTACACTGGCAACAATTCGATGCCACAAGATAATACAAATATAAAGAAATATTACAACAGTTTAAAACAGTAAACAGAACATTAAGATAAAAAGACATTAAAACATTGTCATCAATCCATACAGCCAATTCCAATCTGTCCAAACTGCTATCATGCTTCCTGTCCAAAGGCCTGCTCCCAGAACCACAATTTAACCTTCTTTCTGAAAGAAAGGAGGAAAGACGCTGGCTTGATCTCGCTGGGCAGTGAGTTCCACAGGTGTGGTGCCACCACCAAGAAGGCCCTGTCCCTCGTCCCCACCAAGCGCACTTGCAAGGCTGGCGGGACCGACTGAGAGGCGGGACATAGAGACAAACCAGAGAGAGCAACTAAGGCCCCTTCTAGGGCCCCTTCTACACTCCCATATAAAATCCAGATTGTCTGTTTTGAACTGGATTATATGTCAGTGTAGATTCAGATGATCTACTTCAAAGCAGATAATATTGATTATATAGCAGTTTAACAGGGGCTTTAGTAACTTACTCTATGGCAGAAGTTCTCAAACTTTTAAAGTTGTGGAGCAAAAGTTTCTTGTGAAGCCCCCAAAATGTTTATATATTATATTATATATAATGTGTCTATATCAGGCATGGGCCGAGTTAGTGGCAGATGGATGGAGAGTGTTTGTGTGAACTAATTCACACATTGCAAAAAAAGGAAAGAAAGACCAATACAATATTGAAAAAGAAGAACAATTTTAACCAGCACAAACATAACAGTATTTTAGTGAAAGAACCCAAGGGCCATCCAGTCCAACCCCCTTCTGCCATGCAGTAAAAAGGCAATGACAGAATTGTCATTGCGTTTTTAGTAGTAGTAGTAGTAGTAGTAGTAGTAGTAGCAGCAGCAGCAGCAGGAGAAATCCCAGAGGCATCCAACCCACTTCTACTATGCAGGAAAAAAAATCAAAGTATCCCCTAAGCGGTGGGAGGGAAATAGAATTTTGGAAGCAAAGAAAGCAGCGGGGGGGGGGGGGGGGGGTATGTCTGGCCAGCAAGAAAAGGACCCTGGATGGTCAGGGAGGTGGGGGAGAAAGAATGCTGTTGCTGCTACTGTTGTTTCCAGCACCTCAAAACTTTAATTTCCCTGCATTTCTCAAGAGGAAAGAGGAAACGGCACTGTGGAGCCCTTCACTATCACCGGGGCTCTCTGGAGAACCCCTGCTCTATGGCATCAGAAGCCTGCTTCCTTTTTAGGGACACCAGTGTTTTCCAACATACAAAGTGACAGTGACTGACTGGTATCTTCAAATACCAACATACATGCAATCTAGTCACAGCTTCCAGATACAGGGAAATTTAAAGATCCTTATAATGCATACGTTTTCAGAAATGCCCATACACTTCTGGCAAAAAAATTAACGGCACAGTGCAAAGTCAAAGTCTATAGATGGATGAAAACTGAATCTAACAGGAAGGTTGTATCATTAACCTTACCCAGCTATGCAGTGGGTTCTGCCTTTATCACATGTAATATTTTTGGGTCCCTGTGGGTTCTGATGTGATATGTTGGGACATTTTGTGGTATGGAGAGCAAAATAATTATTGGTGGAGTCTTCCTGGTGGCAGTGGGATTGCCTGTTTGGAGGAAGCACAGAAAAACAGTTACGCCAAGGAAAAAGGAAGAACATTTTCAACAAACAGATGAAGTTCTGGCTGTCTTAATATATATATATATATATTTACCTTCTAGGGATTTCCTCCTCCACTGCTTTGGTTTTAACTGCTTCCCCCTCAGCTCCTTTCCCATTTTCAGAGCCGTGAAACTGTTGCAAGAACCATCAGGAAAGACTGTATTTTAAAGAGGATCACTGATAAAAAAGAAGTTTGCTGTATTCTGTGGCTCAGGAGTATTTCCATGGCATCAGGCCCGTAGCCAGGATTTTGATTCGGGGGGTGCTGAGTCTGAGTGAAAGAGGGTCTACCCTAGCAAACCTTTTGTATCATTACCCCAATACCCCCATGCATATGGGATATATTGAGCATGGTGATCAGATCATGATATGAATAAACATAACAGTTTAAATAATGTACCAGTAAGGCCTTCTCATGGATCACCATGAGAATTTCGGGCTACATGCCTGTGTAGCATTATCAGTGTTCATAGAAGCGATGAGCAAATTGTGGCTCATGGGGTACTCCAAGCCTAAGGGGCCCCAAAGATTTCAGTGCCTGCCATTAGAATGAGACTTTTGCATCTCCTTAGAAGTGTCAGGGAGCATACTATTGGCCATATTTATCTCATGTAACACTCGAACCAAAAAATGCATTTTGGGAACGGACAAGGAAATGGACAAATTTCCCAAAATGCATTGCAATTGCATATTGGAATGTCAGAATCTTCAATATTGATCAGCCTTGATAAACACAGTTTAATAAACATTTATTAGTCTAAGTTCAGAAATACAAAAGATTTTAATAAATGCTAGATAAATTCAAAACTAGCCCCCTGAATGTAAAGTGTTGGATACAGTACAAGATAGCCAAGTAGATATCATAGTATGTTAGGATTATGAGAACAAACAAGACATTTTTCCTTGCAAAAAAATATCACAGTAGAATAATTTTTTTACCATTAATTGCCTGGGAATAACTGCAATGCTGACACGACGACGAGCAGATCCCTACCAGGAAAAGGGAGAATTCTTGTTAGGTAGTCTATAGTGGAGATGGCAAAGAGTGCCTTTTAAAATATTGTATTCGTTTAGACCTTATCTGAGTAATATTAAATGCAGCTAGTCCTCCACATTTACGGGTTTCACTTTTGTGCATCTGGTTGACTAATTTGATTAGTATTCTCTCTGTAGGAATCTTTAGGTCCTCCAGTGTGACTTTATAGTTAACTTCTGGAGGATGCTGACTATAGAGTTGTACTGGAAGAACAAGACATTTCTAGAGAAAACACCTCTCTAAACATTTGTAGTTTCTCTAGTCCAGTGGTTCTCAACCTGTTCTCAACCTGGCTTGGATTTCTGAGAGTTGAAGGCCAAAACACCTGGGGACCCACAGGTTGAGAACCACTGCTCTGGTCTAATTTTACAGTCAACATTTGGCATTGTTTGATGAAAATGGATGCTTCTGGCCTACCTTTCAAGGGAATGGTAAGGTAAGATGACTGGCCCATGTGCTTCCTGCTACTATGCCATAATTTTAAGCCTGACTTTGTGCTCCATGGAGCAGCTAAAAAGCTGAATTCAATCCTTTATCTCCATCTCCTTACCTGCTGGAACATTCGCATTGAGGGATGTTTTGGTCTCTGCTCACCATCATCTATGGGAACAAAGGTGTTCCATAAAGAAAAAGCTATAGCTCAAATTAAAAGCAGGCGCTTTGCATACAACAGGTCATAGGTGCTATCCATGGCACATCTAATTATTGCTAAGAAACCACAGACTCAAAGTTGAAATGCTAGATCTGATATAAGACACATTCTGATGCTCCTTAAGGCAATTTTGAAATCATGTTAGACTCTGTTTGGGGTGAGAAGGGTTATAGCCCAACAACATCTGGAAGTTTCCATTCTGCTCTTCTCTCACTTAGAATATACTTCATGTGACTGGTAGCAAAATACAAACTGGAGACCGATGTGAGACAAGGACAAGTCGACTTCTGCAATGGAGCTTTGCTCCTCTCTCCTACTCCAAAACATCCCCCAAGCAACTGGACAGACTTGGAGGACATGCAGGGGAATACAATGATATTATCTTCATTTTTCTAATGAAAGCAGTGGAAAATCTTTATTGGACTTTGACTGTGGCTTATTTCAGTGGACTCATTATAATCTCTTAATTTAATAAGCCAAAATATTAACAAGACTTTCATTTCCCTTCATTTTCATAGCCATGGTTAAATCACAGAGCATTCTAATAAACAGTGGTTTGCCATTTCAGATTGTATAGAAAACTATGGTTATAATTTTCCAATAACCAAATGTTCAAACAACTTAACAAAATATTAAAACAGCTTTAAGATCCATGTTTTAAAGCTGTTCGCCATAGTTCCAATGTTTCTCAAAGCAGCAAACCTGCACAATGGTGAAGAAAGAGGATTTTTGGATTTAACTGCAATTTGCATAAAGTGAAGAATGACAGGCTGGAGTTTATTCATATCTTCAGTTATCGCAATGATATAAAATAATCTAAATACTGTTACTATTTTGTTGTACATTATGCCGCATAGCTTTCATGGTTCTAGTGTTTTATTCCCACTTCCTATAGGTTTCCAAAGATGAGTCCTGCCTTGGCTGTACATTCACTTCAATTTGTTTCTGACAGCGGGTTCTCAAATTAGATTGCAGTCATGTTTGCCAACATATGGCCAACCATGGAAAATATTAACTTGTAAACCACCAAACTACAGAGTGTAAATATGCTAGGAAAATATGACTAATCATATTCTTCTGGAGCATGCCTGCCATATATGCCTCAATGTTTGGAGATGATTATTACTTCTAACACAGAATGTTTCCAGGTGGCATGATATTTGTACACAGAAGCGAACATAGAAATATAGACACCCATCCCTTCTCCCTTTATCCACAATCTTAAAGCCCTGAGTGGAAAGGTCTGAAGAGAGATGGCAACCATATTAAGAAGATCGCAGTTACATTCAGAATGGGGTCAGGCTGTTTCTTTACATCTGCCTGCTCAGTCTAGGGCTTAGGTGAACAGCTGCAATACATTGTGAATCATCCCTCGCAGAGAATAGGGATGTACAACTGGCCTGACTAATTTGTGTAAAAGTTGCCTCTGAGTACTACAAAGATCTCACCTCCTTGGCAAGGCTTGAAACCCAAACCTTAACAAATTGATTTGTAATATCATGTAATGAAATCCCTAATAAGATATTGTGAGGAAAACATAATTAAGAGCTGGGACAGTCAATGTCAGATTTCCTCCTCTTTACTACTCATCACAATGAAACAATACAATAACAAAGCAATTCTTACTTATGACCAAATTATGCATGAAGTTAGAGTTGAAGACAGTGGCAAGGTATGTAACCCCTTGTTCTTCTGCTGAATATCTGGAAAAATGTTTTTGGAGGATTTTCTTTGAGAAACAGAGGAAGAATGGGTTAAATCCCAATGTTTTCACTAATTGACAAGTTTTCTTAAGTTGTTGCAATATACACCTTTCAAATTTTTTAAATGGGATCAGGCTAGTGGCCTCTAACAAAGATCCATGATCTTGAATTGGCAGGTCATCTTATTATCCTGATAAAGACTATAGACAGTGGGCTTTCAGCTCTTAAGCACTAGTAATCCTGGAACCAATGAGCTTGTAACCACCAACTAAATGGCTAATTGGTACAAGCTTCAACTGTTAGAGGTCACTTTATCAGCCCTCTAAATCAGAGGCTCTAACATGACTTGGAAACTTTGTTTTGGATCCATAACTTTTAGAATTCCCCAGTCAGTTGGCTAATTAATTATGGGATCTATAACCTAAAAATATTATTTTCAAGCTCTGCTTCTAGTAAACTTGAATCAGTGGCATTGTCAGAAGGCCCAATTCAATTTAAATAAGGTGAAGGAGCATAAGCTGAAAATCCCAACCTACAGGGCCAAATGAAAGAGTTTAATGTCAGTGAGTAGGAAAAAAAATGTCTGGGTTGCTGTGAGTTTTCTGGGCTGTATGGCCATGTTCCAGAAGCATTCTCTCCTGATGTTTCTCCCACATCTATGGCAGACATCCTCAAAGATTGTGAGGTCTGTTGGAAACTAGGTAAGTGAGGTTTATATATTTGTGGAAGGTCCAGGGTGGGAGAAAGAATTCTTGTCTGCTTGAGGCAAGTGTGAATGTTGCAATTGGTCGCCTTGATTAGCATTTAATGGCCTTGCCGTTATGATGACAATGTGATGGATATGAAGTAGCTTTAGGAAAGAGGTGACTTAGTGTGGTTGGAACTATTAAAAACCCTAATTTTGAGGAACATGCCTAAGTTGAGCTGAACTGATGAACAGCAAAGACTTAGAGCCTTATTACATGAGCCTCCTGTACCATTATAATTGCTTTCTCTGCAAAATGCTATTCAAGCAAGATTGCTTTATTTCCCACCACATCTTCAGAACCATTGTGTGACTGCAGTATCTATTTGTGTTAAAATCATATTAAACACATTGTATTTTGGATTGCCCTCCCACTACCTCCCCCAAAACATTATCCTTGCCCCCTTTTCATCATTAAGCGCATAAACGTATACAGATTCCCCTCCCTCCGGATATAAGACTCTATGATGTTCTAGCATTGTAGCACCACCCTTCCCTCAAAACTTTAATCCGATCTCAGCAAAGGAGCAAGCCCTGCCCAGAACAGGGAGCCTGTAACACTACATACACCTTTAGCCTCTGAGCCCTGGTTATTAGAATCTACCCAAAGCTTCAGACAAAATGGGTGGCCTTTGGAATGGAATCACACACTCTGAGAGCCATTGCTGTCATTTGTATCACTATGTTTTCCTACTCAACGCATAGCCACTAGACCACCCTCATCACCCTAAATCAGAGTAAAAACTGCAACTAATTTTTTGCACAAGAAATACCATAATTGTGTAACATAAGCAGGAAAAGAGTTCCTTAACAGGTTTTTCTAGCTGGAAAAAATATATTTTAAAACCATCTCTTATGAAACAACAACTGCAGAGAGATAATACCATGCAGTAAGATACCCCCAAAGGCCTGATGACCCTGATGTAGTTCTGCTTTACCTGACCTGTGTGACAAGACCCTTACTTTCTGGTGTGGTTTCCAGAGACAGTGTCACCCAACACATTTCACGTACACTTACAGCCTACTGGAACATCCACAGATCTTTGTGTCTCAAACAGACAAAAATGTGGTCCACCCAAATTGTCCCAGGAATCTGCTGCAGTGATAAGTGTCTTTTATTTCCCAAGATATTCCACATCTAAACATCAGTCATTTTACTGCATTTATATTCCCATCTCCCCTCCCAGAAACGCAATCCTCTGCATGGAGGTGGAGCCCACCTCACCCCTGTTTTCTGCCAGCTGTCGGTTGCGGGAGTTCTGCTGGATCAGCCTCTTCATCTCCTCCAGCTCCGTGTGCTCCCTCAGGTGGTGCCTTTTCAGGTTCTCTACATGCTGCACCATCACCTCTGTTGCTCTGCTCATGCGAGCTTCCTGTGAGATTGGAAGAAAGGGAAGATTAAAACAAAGCAGCAGGACAGTCAGACAGTTCTAGAACACCCAGTGCAACCATCCTGGAGGAAGCCTCAAAAAGGTTACCAAGCACCTCTCCCAGAAATAGTACAATATAGCTCAAGTGCAAGGTTCCCAGTTACTAAAATTTGCATTGATTGATGGACATTGCACTTGTATTATTTGGCATTTTGTATCATTGTTTTGTAGACTGTCTGAAGTACATTTCTTATTATTCTATATTACAGACTGGGGACAGGGGGCTGGATTGCTGAAGGATGTAACAGTATATATGAGATAACTGCTTCAAAAATTGTATATGCTCAGATATAGAAGGAACCTGATATCGTAACACAAGAAGAACGATTGATGAAGATATGTGACTTAGTCTAGATCAGTGGTTCTCAACCTGTGGGTCCCCAGATGTTTTGGCCCTCAACTCCCAGAAATCCTAACAGCTGGTAAACTGGCTGGGATTTCTGGGGTTGTAGGCCAAAACAGCTGGGGACCCACAGGTTGAGAACCACTGGTCTAGATGGACAAATTCACTATGTAGATAGAGGAGAAATCTTTGACTAACTTTACAAAAGACCTGTTCATCATTTTTTTTCACAACTACAATAGGGGCATTTATCAGTTGTGCGGTTCATAAATTAGCAGACTGTTACCTAAAGTAGAAATGTACTCACATTATAATTTAAAGGGAACGGACTAATAGTGGATAACTGTAATCAGATAGAGAGGGGAAACTTTGTATTTTTTTTTGTTTGTTTGTTATCAAATAATTGCTTAGTTGCAATTCAGTTAGAGTGGACAATATATTGTTGTGTAGTTTTGGTAATTTGGGTAGTTTTATATATCTAAATGCTTGTATTATTTTGTCTCTTTCTTTAATATAATAATAATAATAATAATAATAATAATAATAATAATAATTATTATTATTATTATTATTATTATTATTTACTGGCACAAGCCAGTAAAGGTGGTCCCAGTGGTGATCGGCACACTGGGTGCAGTGCCTAAAGACCTTGGCCTGCACTTAAACACAATTGGCGCTGACAAAATTACCATCTGCCAGCTGCAGAAGGCCACCCTACTGGGATCTGCACACATCATTCGCCAATACATCACACAGTCCTAGACACTTGGGAAGTGTCCGACGTGTGATCCAATTAATCAGCCAGCAGAGTGTCTGCTGTGGATGCATCTTGTTGTGTTTCTAATAATAATAATAATAATAATAATAATAATAATAATAATAATACCAAGCTTGATCAGATCAAAGTTCTGTCAGTCATAGGTACTAGGCACTGAATAAATCCATTAACGCCAAATTTCAACCCTCCATGTGTTTTGGACTTCAACTCCCACAATTCCTAACTGCCGGAATTGTGGAAGTTGAAGTCCAAAACACCTGGAGAACCAGAGTTTGACCATGCCTGATCTATCCTCTATGTTTTCCCTCCAGATCCATTTAAAATTGGCACCCATCACTACTTAGTAGATTTCATAGTATGACCATGCACTGTATAAAAGTAATAGTGGAATGAAAACTCAACCAGTTCATTTTCTTAGTTGTTGCACTATATTAGCTTTCAAAGCAAACACACACTTGGTCCTCTGCACACTCGGAGTCTGTATCCATGAATTTAATTAACCATGTTTTTTTATTTTGCCATTTAATATAAGGGGCACCATTTTATTATGTTATTATACTTATATAATGGGATCTGAGCATCCATGGATTTTGATATCCACAAGGGGGAATGGATGCAATGGTTCACTGTACAAGTTTTTTTTCCAATGTCCTGCAGGACCTCAGTACAAAAAATGCTGTTTTAAAAGTGGCAAAATCATGTAAAACTACCAAGAGGCTTTGCTATATTCTCCATACGGAAACGACCACTTTCAAGTATCTGTTGGTTCTATCTATTGTTTTAATGATTGTTTTATTGCTTGTGTATGCACTGTTTTTAATTTGATTTATGTCTAATTGTAGTTTATAATTGTAATTGTTTGTACTGGCATTGAATTTTGCCATTACTTATATGTAAACCGCTTTGAGTCCCCCTCGGGATGAGAAAAGCGGTATACAAATACTGTAATTAATTAATTAATTAATTAATTAATATCTACTTGCCACTTTTGGACTAGAATTAGTAATCCTTAGAAAATATGCCTCCATAGACTGGCAGCCCTAATTTTACCAAGACATGTCCTACACACAAGTGGATTTGGATGCAACATTTTTTGGGTGGAAGGTTTGTACTAACAGCACATTCTGAAGTATAGATTTGGTTCAAAATAAACTCAAAGCCTGAGCAGCCGCTCTCTCCTTCCACTTATTTGTAAACAAGATCTTTAAAAAGCAGTGCTAAAATAAACCACAATGTATAAAAACAAAACACATTTTGCACCTCATTTGTGCCACTGAATTGCTAATAATTTCAAAGTATTGCTCATACATTAATAATGCATATATTCCTTCCTACAGCTAATTAAAATTAAACATGGCATTTCAGTTTCCCACAATGCCTAGGAACAGCACATGAGAGGCATTGCAGAAAATTAAAATTGTGCTTTGGAGTTGCAGTTGCATCTCAGGCTACTTTTCCCCCAGACACAGAATATCAGTGTAATGAAACATCTTCACCAATGGGGACAGTATAAGAAGCAAGACATCTTATTTCACATTTGAAGATGGTTTTGGAAGGGAAGGAAGAGATGGTGAGAAAGATTTTAAACAGTTAAAGGGCATGTTGGATATGATGTGCAAGCCAATCTTCACCCTGTGTGGGGCACATTACTTTATAGATGAGGCTACATCATGCCAGCTGAAGTCTAGATGATGTCCCTATACCTATGCTGAGGAGAAGTCTAGGCTCAATGTCTGAAACAGGTTCCTCACCATTCTCTTTTTCAATCATTTCAAAAATTTAGAATTAGACGAAACAATAGTGTCAGGAATGCACAGGATCAGACTACTTGCAAAACATTTTACCTCCACTGTTTTCTGATCTTACAGTACTGGGGAATATAGCAAATAAATTGAAGAAGAAAACATCACCAAGGAACAGATGTCAGATTTCATGTTATACTCAAGCAGGAGACATTATTCTCAAAGGAATATTCTGTAACATCATGGAGTAGGTAATCTTTGTCCAAGGAAATGGAACCTTCAGGGATACATCATCTGGCTGGAATAACTTCCTTGGCCTTTTCTCATATCAGATTAGGGATATTGCAGACCAGAGGCGGTTCTAGACAGGACTTTAATTTGGGCCCAGTTAGGTTTAAAAAACCCAAGTGGACTTGCATTACAGTCCACATATGCCCTAGAAAGCTTGTGCTTTTCTGGGGGAGGGAGGTGTCCAGACCCCACCAGACATACCTGGACACAAAAGAAAAATCCCCAGAAAAGCCTTAAAAAGAAAAAATAACTTACCTGGTTGGCATTTCACTGCTGCCGGCCCTCTCCTGGCACATAGAAATGACATGCCAGGAGAAGGGGAAGGGAGGAGGAAAATGGCTGTGTGTCTGTGGAGGGAGGTCAAAACTCCCAAGACAGCTGTGTGGATTGGGACTGGAAATCACATGATGCAACCCCAGGGCCCAATTCACACAGGACCCACAGTTGGAAATACCTGGGTCTTTCCAGTGGTCAAATTAATTTGGGACAAAACAGAGTTTTCCTGCTTTGTCCCAAATTAATTCACTTTTACCTGAGGCATAATTTGTACACTCCAGGTTAAAACGCGGGCGCTTGCACGTTTTAGGCACTGTGTGGATGCACCCTGGGATAATTTTGCACTGCATTGGAACTCTAGCTTTGAAGAATGGGATGCCTGAAAGTTATTGCAGTGGGGCAAATTTCTAAGATCTTTAAATGACTTTCTCTAATTTGCTGTGGCCTTAACCATGCTTGCTGCTAATCTGGAGACCTTTGTGATTTTACCTTTTCCTAACTTCTTAGGACATTTTTATACAAAAGGCTCAAGACTGGTTTCCTTTATATAAGTCAGTGATGTAAATGCAAGATCTATACTAGCAGGAATGTACATTTGATTTCTATTAATGTTTCTGTCCTGCAACAGCACAGAGATGCAGCTCAAACATTACAAGACCTCAGAGCGATTTTTATTTGATTCTGACAAATTACGAGCTTTTTAGGGGGGGAAACCTAACCTGATGGACAGCTCCTAATTTCTCTGCTGCAACTGTTGCCCTCTCAATGGCACCTGCCAGGACTGTTAGACTGTTCTTCAGGTGTTCTACCATTTCCTTGCACCTGCTGTCTGTGCAGGCCTGGTCCAGCTTCTGGGGGGAATAGAACAGAAGAAATACATTAATCCACATATAAGTGCATGTGTGCGCATGCACACATATATATACATAAATACAGTATGTATTTTTAAAAATATATAATTACAAAGAAAGAAAAAGAAGTGGGGAAGAGAGAATGCACAGGATATGAGGATGGGATAGGCAAATATTAATACAAGCTGATCATATTTCCAAAATAGCATTTTCTTGAAGATGGCATCATAAAACAAATGTTCACAAGTACTGTATTTGTTCATGTATAAATTGAGGGCATGTTTGAAGGACAAAGTTATGGATTTTTATATGATCTGTGGGTAAAGTTGAGGATCCTTCTGCAGAGAGGGGAAAGTGCCACCTTCATTTTCCCACCCAGGCATTCAAAAAGGCAATGACAGAGAAAATAGAGGGGATTGTTGCTCCTTTTGGGTTTTCCCAGGATCGACAAAATACTCATATTTCTCCAATCTTCGCAAAGACAGTACAGTACTTATACTGACCTAGGTTTTGTTGGTCAATTTTTGGCTAAAATTTCTAGACTTATACATGAGTATTTATAGTAGCTAAAGCAATGAGAACTTCTGAACATTGAAACCAGATGGAGAATGGAGTGTATCCAGCCTTGGAGTGTAAGTCTTTGGGCAACAGTAAGAATTTGTAGGATCTGACTATAGTGATCATTAAAAATTATATCCCGAGACAAATGTAATATAAAATTAACATATTATAGCACATGCAACCAAAATTTGGCAGCCAGTGAACATGTCCAAACCATTTGCAGGGATGGGGACACTATTATTGGGTTAACCAGATATCAACCAAATCCTTAGTTGGGTTTCATCTCCAGGACAAGATGATCAAATTTCCAGTATTGGATCTAATCACTAACCACACATAACAAAACTTGCAGAAACACTGAAACCGAACATGGCTTGTTTTCAAATGTCAATTGAATAAAGTCTCCATTGAAATGAATGGAATGAGTAAGTTGTGATTTAAATCCCATCTATTGAAGTGGGAGTGAAGGATCATGAACAATATGGAATCAACTCATCTCCTTCTGCTCCTAGCTCTCAATTTTTAGATCTTTGTGAATACGCAATGCTAGTTATAAATCATGATTTTCATCCCAGAAATGCAACAAGAATTATTCAAAAGAGTACAGAAATGGGTTGTTATGTGTTTTCCGGGCTGTATGGCCATGTTCCAGAAGCATTCTTACCCAACGTTTCACCTGCATCTATAGGGCATCCTCAAGAAATGGATTCACTTACTTGCAACGTTGTCTGGCAGTCTGTCAATTCCATCTGAATATTCTCCTCAGCTGTGTTTCTTGCCCGCTCTTCAACCTGCACCCGTCGTTTCAACGTAAACATGTCACACCGGAAGGCCAAAGCCAAGTGTGCAAAAGCTGCCTGCCAAAGAAGGCAGTTGGTCAAACAAACCATACTGCTGAAGAAGACTCTACCGTATTCAGGCAAAGTCTTCAAGACTAGCCTTTTATGGGAAATCAGAGCTTTCAGTAGGACATTTTAAGTATTTAAAGCTTAGAAAGAGTTTTTATAGATTCTGCTATGAGAGAAAATATAGGCAGTCCCCAAGTTACAAACAAGATAGGTTCTGAAGGTTTGTTCTTAAGTAGAATTTGTATGTAAGTTAGAACAAGTACATTTTTAAGTGTAACTTCAACCAAATATATACATTTGGGGCGGGGGGGTAGGTAGTTTGGGATAGCACAGGGAAGGGATTGGTGATAAAACATCAGTTAAAACCCCCTTTTCATATAATAATTCTTCCAGGAGTGAATTTCCCTTCTGAGGGAGAGATTTCTCTCACTTCCTTTTGTCTCAGCCCCGTTCTTGACTATGAGTTGTTTGTAAGTTAGATGTTTGTAACTTGGGGACTGCCTGTGTAGACCATTTCAGGATGTGCCACTGTGCTTTGCTGAAATGTTTTAGCTTCTGATGGGAAAATAGATACAAAATCTTTTCTTTCTACTTCACTTTTAACAAACAGACATGACTCGGTTCCAATTTTGCCTGGAGGCTAGTTGGGCTGAGTATTGCCATTAGGGTGCCCCAAAGGCCTGACTGACTGATTAAAATAAAATAAGAAAGCCAGCTGTGAGACTATAGGTGATTCTTACCATCATTGCTGCTGGTCTAATAAATAAATGGTAAGCCTCGGAATATTTTGTGGAAGAACTTGAAGAGGTGCAGCCAAATGAAGATAGCAGTACTCACCTCCACATCCTGCTCAGTCAAAGCAACCCTGCCAAGGAAAAACATACAAAGCCATGAAGGACACAATCCTAAAGACTTGGAGTGTGTCTGCACTGTACAACTAATGCAGCTTGATATTTATTTGTTTATTTACAGTATTTATATACCACCTTTCTCACCCCTTGGGGGGGGGGGGCTCACTTTAACTACCATGGTTCAATTATGAGAGCTGGCAAAGAATGCTGGTGCCTCATCAGACTACAAATCCTGGATTCCAGAGCATTGTGCCATGCCAGTTAAAGTGGTGTCAAACTGAATTAAGTCTACAGTGTAGATGCATCCTTGGCAAAATTAAGCAAAGAGAAGGATCTGTGGTTTTCAACCTCCTTATTGAATTATGAGAGGTTTTAAAAAATCATACCCTTCAAATATAGTCCCAGGTCCCAAACAACAAAAAAGAAAAAAACAATGAATATGTCAATATAATAAACTATGGTACAAGCCTATAAATGGTCAAACAGTATGACACAGCAAAATCAAAACAGCATCTAAACATCTTAGGGAAAAATAATAACTCATTTTGCTGGCACAGAAAGGAAAATAAGATAAATGGAGTGGCATTGGGACAGAGGCCATTCTCTCCCTTCTTTAGATTTTTTTTTTTTTTTGCTGTACAAACAATCCGCTATTGATATGGTGCCAAATAAATTTCCTTAGACATATCATTTTTCTTTCTTTCTGCAGAGGTCATTCTAGTGAGGACAGAAGTAGGAGACCGAGTTTTTTTACTGCTCATGGCTATGTGGGTGTGTTGGGGGCAATCTTCATGCGTCCTTGACCTGTCTACTGTCAAAAGTTCTGGACAAGGAAACTCCGACAAGGACAGTTCCAAGGAATTTTAGTGGCACCATTATCCCAAATACATACATACATACATACATACATACATACATACATACGTGTGTGTGTGTGTGGACAGTTCTATATATCAAAATCCACAGTCCACAAAAGAGATAACTAAAATGTGCAAAACACATCATGCAGGCTTTTGAAGCTTCAGTGACTTCTTCATCAGGCAAAGGATATTGAAAAAAAAAGGAAAACAGCGACATCCAAACTTTTCCATTAGATGTTGTTTTGGTTTGGAGGGATCTTAATACAGACAGGGGCCACTCTTATTCTTGGCCAGAAGGGGACTGAGACAAAGGATTGCAGGTTAAATTACAATCCATTAGTTTACATTTTGCTGTCCTTTTTCTCCTCTGAATATGGTTGAAGGGGATAGTTCTGGCACTGATTTGGTTACACTTCTTACAATCTTACAATATTCTTTGAGATTCCTTTGCAAGGGTTAATATCCCAACAGTGGCTACTCATTTTCAACCAAACTTTAACATCACTTTATTTGCGTGAAGTGTCTCCAAACAATGGGTAGATACACATACGTTTCCTACCTATGCAGGCCCAGTCTTTGCAGGACAGAAAGCTCCATTAGTGCAGAACTCAATGAGTCCTCAGAGTGATCTGTATCTAGACAAAGAAATACAAAATCAACACCACAGACCAACAAGCCAGGCAAGGAAACATCAAAAACTCTTTGTTCTCCATGTAAGATTATCCTATTAGACGTAAAAATTCAAGGTATAACAGGCCAAGAATGATCGAGGACACTCGATTTACTGTACCTTACTGTACCTTACTGTATTTACTGTATTTGTTTTAAAGGTGGCCTAGGGCTTTATAGTTAGGATCCATGACCAAATCGAAAAGAAAATGCTGCCTCTAACCTAGCTTTTTACTACGAAATAGCGTTCTTGTTGAATAATAATAATAATAATAATAATAATAATAATAATAATTTGTTTTGTTTACTGTATATCCTGCTCCCTCTCCCTCTCACAGAAGGGACCCAGAGCAGCTTACAGCTAGTAACAGTAAAAACAATACAAAAAGCAATAGTACATAGGTCAAATTAACGTAACTGAAAATAGAATCATTGCAGTTACTGTAAATATATGAGAACATAACATAAACATCAAAAGTAGCTGCTCTTATTGGAATAAAAGCATTAAAAATGTTAAAACCACCGATCTTTCTAAAATATCTCCATTTAAGAAGATAATAAATAACCAAAGAGAATGAGTGAGCCAAAATAACACAGAGAGTATCATTATCTCCAAATGTTGTTTATTTCCCTCAGCTCAGTGGTTCTTAACCTGTGACCACCAGTAGGCCACAAGGACGAAAATCTGGTCTGTGAGTCTCCTTACTCTTTATTTTATTTTATAGATTATTAAATATGATTTTCTGTGGGAGAGCAGATGGCAACTACTAGATGGCATATGTACTGTATCAGAAACTTGAGCTGATGCGATCTATCAAATGCAATTTTCTGAATCAGCACCCCAAATAACCAAACCAAATCTAAAGTTGACAAAACCGATTCATAACCCTTTTGGTACTAATGTTGGAGAGTAGTCCTTGGTCAAAGTGGTCCCTGGTCAAAAAAGGTTGAGAACCACTGCCATAGCTCCATCTTGGGGCCTAATAAGGTTGTTGAATATAGTTGTGGTAGCAAGTGGGAAGCATGTTGCTGTTGTTATTGTGTGTCCTCAAGTAATTTTCAATTTATGGCAGCTCTAAGGCAAACTTATCACAGAGCTTTCTTGGATTGGTAGGGTATGACTTGTCTAGCCATCCAGTGGGTTTTCATGGGTGAGTTGGGATTCAAACACAAGCCTCCAGAGTCATGGTTCAACACTCAAGCTACAATGCCACACTGTCTCTCTGAGGAATACAGAATATGGACAACACAGATTAAAGAGGAACAAAAGATCAAGAATGAAAAGAGGGCAATGGAGACCAAGATCTTTTAGAAATTTCATGACAGTTTTCCTTTTTTGTTTTAACTCTTACACGACAAACATTGAAATTCTGCATAATTCTTATTTTGTATATATTTATTATATGCGGTGTTCGCTCAAAGCAAAAGTTCTCAGAGTAAATCTCAATATTCATAGGTTGAAATTAAACACCAAAGCCAACAAATGAAAGCAATGCAATATTATATTTCTTGGGTAATTAAATGCAACACAAGAACAATCCTATATATAAATACATTGCTCGGTAAGTCAATGCATTAAAATGCTGAAAATTAAGACAAGAAACCTCTAAAAATCTGAGAGAATAAACAAATGTTTCCATGCTAAAAAAATATTTCACCAACAAGTCTCATGGGGTAGAGCTATCCACTAAGGATGGCACATTACAGATCAGTCCATCCATCTGAGTTTCTGATTTGATGGAGTATTCAGAGAAGCGTATCCAATGAATATCTTAAAATGCAAAAAGGGACACATAAGAAGGTATCCTGCCATGTTGAGCTTTGTATGTCAGAACCAAGACACTGAATTTGACTTGGCGAATAAGCATTACAATATATTTATTACACTTTTGCAAGTAATGGGAAGGAGAAGGACACTCAAAATGGAATACTCAACCAGTGGAAATTTTATTCAAGTCCAAACTACAGGATTCAGTGGTTTCAGCAAACACTGCTCATACAAACATATCTTCATAAGTCACAAAGTTAGAAATGTACTATTTAAAATATTAAAAATAAGTATTTCTGAAACATGGACATATTCTGTTTTGTCATGGAACTGCTGAACACATGCACCTTACCCAGTATGTCTTTCTGCACAGACTATAATAGCAATCTTGCAATCCATCATACAGTACAGAAGTAGATCTGGGTATTATTTTCCTAGACTAATTGGCCATGCTAAATAGCTTAAGGCTATGCATGCTCTGCAAACTTAGACAAGAGATTACTTCATTGCACATTCAGCAGTGCACATTCAGTTTGTTCCACCAACTCCATTATGCACATCAGCACATTTTCATCTAAACTACAGTGTGCAGAAACTCGTGGCAACATGGTACAGGGATGCTATTTTGTCTTGCAATGCTGTATATGCTAAAAAAGATTGTTCTAGCAAGATCAAATCTCTACAATGTTGTTTTTAAGTGATTGTACAATTGCAAAATACAAATTCCTATAGTCCATTTAAAAGGTAGCAGTAAAGATGAGTGCTACAGTAGTAAGGTCTTGGAGGTGGCCAGGGGAGCTTTCACACAGTTAAAATTTGTGTGCCAGCTGCGCCCATACCTTGGGAAGTCTGATCTGGCCACAGTGGTCCATGCTCTTGTTACATCCCAAATAGATTACTGCAACACACTCTACATAGGGTTGCCTTTGAAGACTGTCTGGAAATTCCAACTAGTCCAACAGGCGGCAGCCAGATTACTAACTGAAGCAACATACAGGGAACATACCACCCCTCTGTTATGTCAGTTCCACTGGCTGCCGGTCCATTTCCGAGCACAATTCAAAGTGCTGGTCTTGGCCTATAAAGCCCTGTACGGCATCAAATTGCTGCTGTTTTCGGCATCGAATTGCTGCTGTTGTAAGCTGCCCTGAGTCCCCTTCGGGAGTTGAGAAGGACAGGGTAGAAATGTTAGAAATAAATAAATAAATAAATAAATAAATAAATAAGAAGCACAGAAAACTTGGGATATGCCTGCAGAATTCTCATGGTCAGATATCACTTGAACTATCATGGCTATATTTTATAGAATTTTTTAAAATTTGCAGTTTCGAGGAATACTCCCCAGAACTGCAATTCTACAGGGGCAAGAAAGCCCAGACTCACTTGGTTGTCCTCACAAGGTTTAGATACTTTTGGTTAAACTGGCTTTGCCTTGCTTCAGGCAAAGTTGTGGGGTGCTCTGGAGTCTGATGGAAATTCCTGTGACTTTGTCCACTGGACAACTGATTGGGATGATTTGGACCAGTTTGTTGATCAGAGCAGTGAAAAGGGGATGGGTTGTGCCCATGTTGCTGCTGCTGTCATTCCCTGTCAGCAATAGAGTGCCATCAGAGCTCTTGGCCATCATGGGCCCCTCCTTCTTCCTGGCTCCTGTAACAGCCAGAAGCTTGCATGAGGGATTAGTCATGTGATGGTGATAGTCCAGGTGGACCAAAGCAGTCTTAGCCTGGCTGGATTGTGTGAATGCCAATGCAGTGCTGCAACAGATTTGGGCGGATGTGTATGGTCATCTCAGTGCCAATCTGGATTTGTTTTGGTCTGGACTGGCTACAGATGTACCAGCTGTAGAAATCTCTGCCATGATCTACTGTGAAGTTTAAATATTTCACAGAACTACAGATGCTGGAATTTTGCTGGATGCAGCCATATTAGAAAATCATCATCGTCATCATCATCATCATCATCATCATCATCATCATCATCATCATCATTATTTATACCCCACCCCATCTCCCAAAAAGGGACTCTGAGCAGCTTACAATCATAAAATAAAACATAATCGATAATATAAACAAGGTAGATAACATATCAAATTAAAACAAAACAAAAAATAACACAAAACAACCAAACATCAGTAAACAATTACAAATAAATAAATGATAAATAAACATATAAGATACTATGAGTCATATATGTGTATATTGCAGATACATGGTTCATCCCATTATGACAATACAACTCAAATAGGAGATGTGTTTACAATTGGATACTTCAGACTGGTAGCTTTCATTTGGAAATGCCAAACAACAAAGTCCAAAAAAGCATAACTGAAAAGAGAGCGATAAGGATGAAGAAGGACTTGGGTGGGAGGAACAGGCTCACCCAGGTGAGTTCTGGGGAAGGGTAGAACAAGAACTATGTGGATCCCATTAAGGATTGTGCCCAGTGACCTACACATGAGTAACCATTCTCTTTGGGGTCAAAAAAAGGAACATGCAGGTCCTTTAGGAATGGAGAGAGTTTGAAAGAGAAGTTCACAAAACAGAAGAGGTAGAAGCAAAATGAAAAATAATTAAAATAAAAGGAAATGGGTGGGAGAGAATCTGCAAGATGGAAAAAAGTTAAAAGAAAAAAGATGAGGATAGTGATTAATGGAGAAAAAACCCTCTAAGGAAGGAACTCAAATGTGAAGCTATGGCAAAGACTCACTCACCAACCTTCATCGCTCTCACCACTGTCTTCAAAGTGCACACCAAGTTCTCTGCTGCCAGGCCTGGTCCTCTTTGCTTGCTCTTGGGGACTCCTAGCAGAAGGCTGAGGGTAAATAGAAAACAGAGTCTACATGGAATGTAAATGTGATTGTGTGAATTATAATTTTGAGTAGTGGAAAAAGGAGTGACACAGGTAAATCTTAATATTACATAGAGGAGGTAGCCAAATAGGCAGAAAGAAAAGAACAGTCCTCTAAATAGATTGCAAGTTAGCCATATCTCAATTGCTGCTGGGGGGGGGGGGGGGGGGGGGGGGGGTAGGCCTCCATTGAATAGGCTGCATTATCCAATTTCAAGAAATAAGGAGAGAAGGAACCTTTCAGATGCCTACTGGTGATCAACATTTGGATAGCAAAATGAACTAGGTAATATTCCCCACAATGGAATTTAATTTAATCTCCATTTAATTCAAATTTGATACATAATCTCCAAATTTGCATCTATGTATATAATTCAGTATGAAAGCTAAAGTGTGTAGTGGTTTAGATGTTGGACTTGGATTTTGAAGATGGCTCAAACCCCACTCAGTCATATAAAGCATTGTGTGATCTTGGGCCAGGCACAATCTTTCAGCAACTTCTAATCAAAATTTGATTAGATTTGATTCTAATCAAAATGTGTGCCCCCCCCCTAAAAAAAAACCAAAACACACACGATAGGTTTGCCTTAGGGTTACTATAACTCAGAAGCATTTGAAAGCACACAAATCCCCAAAAGATGCAGGCAGTAAGCAATCTGCATATTACCAATTTTTGGTGATGGGTTTCCTTTCTTTTCTAACAAAGATCATTTTTGAAGAAGGGCAAAAAAAAGATGGGTCCGGTGCCTAACAGACACCATGGGAAGGATACATATATTTCTTTCTGAAAGAGTGATCAAAATGGTGAATACACTAGCAACTCTAGTCAGAGGTCAAATATTCTGAGCTTTCCTAGGACCTTCTCATACTACACCATTATAGCACTATGATTTCACATTTTACTGCCATGGCACCATCCGACAGGGTTTTGCAGCTTATTGAAGCACTTTAAACATTCTTAATCAGAGCACTCTAGTGCCTCATCAAATTGTAACCTCAAGTTTCAAAGGGATGGAACCATGGTAGCAAAGATGGAACGTTAATGCTCTAACTCAGTGGTTCTCAAACAGTGGCTCCCCAGATGTTTTGGCCTTCAACTTCCAGAAAACCTAACAGCTGGTAAACTGGCTGGGATTTCTGGGAATTGTGGGCCAAAATACCCGAGGATGCACAGGATGAGAGCCACTTCTCTAACTGTATAGTGCAAAGGTGCCACAGATGCACTGCTAGAAGGGTCTTACCAGCACCCTACAAATCCTATCTTTTTAAACAAATAAAAAAGTAAAAGGGACTTAGTCCAACTTACCTTACTTGTGTTCTCAGAATTTCCACTCGTCTCATCCCCCGTCCTTTCTAAGTTGTCTTCTGAACTGGCCATTACTCCTGTGAATAAAGTGCAAAGAAAAAAGGCACAAATTTTATTTATCTCAGATTTTGATGAGTTATTGCTTCAGTCAAGTCAGTATGGACTGGAGTCCTCACTCTCAAAATCAGAAGCCAGCAGGAGAATTAGTGTCATCATTGGACTGTTGCATCCCTCAACAAAACATGGTAGAATTAGAAGACAAGCAAGATAGATGCTTTTGAGCTTTGGTGTTGGAGGAAAATTCTGAAAGTGTCTTGGACTGCAAGAAGATCAAACCAGTCCATACTCAGGGAAATAAAGCCCAACTGCTCACTGGAGGGAAGGATATTAGAGGCAATGATGAAGTACTTTGGTCACATAATGAGAACACAGGAAAGCTTGGAGAAGACAGTTATGCTGGGAAAAATGGAAGGAAAAAGGAAGAGCGGCTGACCAAGGGCAAGATAAATGGATGGTATCCTTGAAGTGACTGGCTTGACTGTGAAGGAACTGGGGGTGACAGGGAGGTGTGGGCTGTTCCATGAGGTCACGAAGAGTCAGAAGTGACTGAACAAGTAAACAACAACAGGCCCAGATGTTTATTTGTGCTACGTGAACCTCTTCTAGTAACAGGAAGGACAAGAGGCAAATTACAACAGAAAAGCAAAAGTGTGGCATTGTCATAGGCACACTAGTGTTGTGGTGTTCATAATTTGACTGCAAGTCAGGGCCAGGGAATAGTCCTCTGGACATTGCTGGACTGCAACCTTTATTACCTTTCACTTATTTATGCCAGCTAGAGCTGATGGTACCTGTTGGCAACAACATATGGAGAGCAACAAATTGCTCTTCTTTGCTACAAGGAACCAGGTGGTCTCAAGAGTCCTTGGGTGAGTAAAAGCCTCATTTTCAAATAAGGAGTTAATGCTTATTTTGGATTTGCCTAAGCATGAGAAGACGGCATAGCACCATAGGCGATGATCAAACCAGACTAACGAGGACATTTCAGGGTAGGCCCAGTCCAAAAACTATTATAATCAATCAGAGGTATCTTGATATAAAAGGAGGCATAACAGTAGTAGAACCGTCCCCTCAAACCTTAGAAAGTCTCTTATGCAGAGACTTTCCAAGGTAGCACTATCCAGCAGTACAAATAAAAGGGAAAGCAGTGCTGAATGTTCTGGGGAAAGCAAGGGTAAATAACCAAGCAGACGCTGTTTTAAGTAGCCAAGGCATGCAAAATACACTTGGATAAATCAGATCAGCACTTTGGTTTCACTGTGGCTGTGAAGTGCTCTGATGGAAGACAAAAAGAGAGAGCGAGTGAAACAAAGTGGGAGAGACAACAGAGCAGAAAGAGATTGGATAAGCATAAATGAGTTCCTATTGTGTTCTGTCTGAACAAACAAGAGCTTGTGAAGGCTGTAAGGTCAATGATCTGAGCTGTGCTTTTCACAATAGGTGATTAAGCCATAAGAGAATAAAACAGCCCTAAATATCCTAAAGGTATCAAATCCTATCTGATTTTGAAAGCTGAGTAGGGTCTATCTTGGTGAGTACTTGAATGGGAGACCACTAGGTGATGTTAGGCTATCTGAGGAAGAAACTGTCAAAGCCACCTCTGAGTATTTCTTGCCTACACAAACCCTATGAAATTAATTGGGTCATTATAAGCTGATAGCTGACTTGAAGGTAGACACACTAGACAGAGATAATTCATTCCACCTGGATAACAAGCTAGAGATCCCCTGTCAGAGGTCCACCTTTCAGACACCATCTTGCTGAGTTAAGGATGCAAAACCTTAAGAGCACAGGGCAACTGAAAAGCAGTTAAACTTCTACTAACACAGTAGGCTTCTGCCAATCCTAACAAACCACATCAGGCAGCTGCCTCATGGAAATGAGGAACAGCCCTTGCCTTAGAGCAGCGTTTCTCAACCTGGGTGTTGGGACCACTGAAGGGGTGGTGGTGAGGAAGCGTCAAAGGGGTCGCCAAAGACCATCAGAAAACACAGTATTTTCTTTTGGTCTTGGGGGCTCTGTGTGGGAAGTTTGGTCCAATTCCATCATTGGTGGGGTTCAGAATGCTCTATGATTGTAGGTGAACTATAAATCCCGGCAACTACAACTCCCAAATGTCAAGAGCTATTTTCTCCAAACTCCACCAGTGTTCACATTTGGGCAGATTGAATATCCATGCCAAGTTTAGTCCAGATGCATCATGGTTTGAGTGCACATTGCTCTCTGGATGTAAGTGAACTACAACTCCACAACTCACAGTCAATGCCTATCAAACCCTTCCAGTATTTTCTGTTGGTCATGGGATTTCTGTGTGCCAAGTTTGGTTCAATTCCATCGTTGGTGGAGTTCAGAATGCTTTTTGATTGTAGGTTAACTAAAGGACTGACAATCACGGACGACGAATTTGGATTGGGATTTTAGTTACGAGATGCATCGGATTTTATTGGTGGCCCAATAATTTGTATTGTAATTGTGTTTCATGTTTTTAATATGGTATTGTTCTTAACTGTTGTAAACCGCAATGAGTCGCCGATTTCGGCTGAGATATTAGCGGTATACAAGTCTATAAATAAATAATAATAAATAAATAAATAAATTAACTTTAAATCCCAGCAACTATAACTCCCAAATGACAAAATCAAACACCGCCTCCCCCCCGCCAACCCCACCACTATTCAAATTTGGATGTATTGGGTATTTGTGCCAAATTTGGTCCAGTGAATGAAAATACATTCTGCATATCAGGTATTTACATTACAATTCACAACAGTAGCAACATTACAGTTATGAAGTAGCAATGAAAATAATTTTATGGTTAGGGGTCATCACAACACGAGGAACTGTATTAAGGGGTCACGGAATTAGGAAGGTTGAGAAAGACTGCCTTAGAGCTACCATCCCGATGCTACCCTGTGACCTTACCTCTTCCCTGAGACAGCACAAGCCCATCCAGCTCCACTGGCTGCTGCATCAGCCTTTCTTTCCTAGAAGGGTAAATAACAGGATAGATTAATGATCGCAGAGCTCTGCTAGCACAGAGGAGAGTGTTGTGCCCAAATAGACTTGTACAAGCTTGCTCTAACTGATCACCCTATCACAGTGTTACAGTCCCGGCAATGAGACCCTCTGAACATCCTTGAGCAGGATGGGTTTTTAAGCAGAAGTTGCTTCATTTTGGACCACTTTCTCCAGCATGATCCATTTCCATGGGGTGCTGCAGGCATTGCTTTGCAGTCACCCTCCTCCCTCCCACACAAGCATCACCCACAGATGCTGCCTGGCATGGACTCAGAAACCTTACCTCTGCGGCACCACACCATCTCCAAGCCGGCCCAGGAGGCTGGCAGCCAATGCTGCAGAGTTCTTGCCACAACCTTTTCCTCCCTGGAAAACTGGGCACAGAGAGGCTCCCTGTAAAGGCATTTCCCCAAAAAACTATGAGTCACAAACCCACAGCAAGGTTTGCATCTATCACATTTCCACTGCACTGGCAATTGGGCCCTGCAGTCTTCCAGGCAGCTAGCTGTTAAGTAAGTACCTGCTAATCCAGAAGATAGGAAAACAAGTTAAAGAGGGCCATCTGCTGAGAACTTGTAGTATTTCAACTTCACTGGAATCAGAACCACAGGAATTATCTGGCACAACTAGCCCTGAGTATTCCTTTCTTTTAGAAACCAATGAAATTTATGGGTTTGACATAAGTCAACAGGCAATTTGAAGACATATACACAAACAGAAAGACACTTATTTACTTAGGCAATCCCAATTTCTTGGTGACAGTCCATCGAGGGGGAAACAGAAAGGCAAACAGTGGGGTGAAAGAAAATAATGGGATCTACCTATTTGGTTGAGGGCAAAACAGGGGCACCTGGGCTGTTGTAGGTTTTTCGGGTTGTGTGGCCATGTTCTAGACGCATTCTCTCCTGACATTTCACCTGCATCTATGACAGGCATCCTCAGAGGTTGTGAGGTCTGTGATTCCGGCCATGAAAGTCTTCTACAATACTCTAGCACCTCCTTGAATTTTTTCTTCATTACATAAATGTCTACCATTGCAGAGAGTGAGACAGTAAAAATTGTTACATTTATTGCATTTGTATTCCATTGGTAACAGCAGCTGTTCCTCTTCTTTAGATACCTGATCTGTATTTCTAAATGCTCAACTGAAGTATTGAATTACTTATCTGAAAATCAGAAGCATTTTGACTTCTTCATGATTCTGCAAGTGAATTGCCTGAAGACTGTCATTACGATTGTTATCAGTCCACTCCAGGCCTAGCTCTCAAACCTCTCTTTGATTCAATGAGAAATTGCATCTTCATATTCCTACCTCATTCTTTTTCTGATATGGGATGCTGTTTTTTATCAGCTTAATTTCAGTTACATAACAAGGGGGAGGTGAAAAGAAGTTATTTTGGTCATCAACAGGGACCAGGGAGTGAGAGAAATGTCTGTGTCAATATTATTTTGAATTTTTAAAACACCAGCAACTCTATTTTATTATTATTTTTCTTCCTTATGGTTTTCTAGTGAATACTAAAACAACAACAACAACAATTGCACACTAAAACCTACATTTTTGCATCCATTCCATGCTCTCCAACTGTCCAATTTTGGCAGGGGCAGCTCCATTTAATCCTCTGCAGTCCCACTTTCTCAGAATCACTAGCTGTCCCCTGCCACGTGTTGCCATGGCCCATTCTGTGTATATGTCCTTTGTGTGTACATGTGTGTATATATTTGTGTATATGTGTGTTTGCGTATATATGTGGTTTTGCACATGTATTTTTTTTTTTGCTTTTTAAGTCTCTTCTGCTGTGTTTTTCAGTGTTTTTATGAGTAATTATCACTTGTGGGCCTGATAGGTGTATTGTGTCCACATTTGGTGTCAATTCATCCAGCAGTTTTTGAATTATGTTAATCCCACAAATAAATATTACATTTTTACTTATACAGATAGAATCATAGAGTTGGAAGAGACCTCATGGGCCATCCAGTCCAACCCCCTGCCAAGAAGCAGGAAAATCACATTCAAAGCACACCTGACAGATGGCCACCCAGCCTCTGTTTAAAAACCTCCAAAGAAGGAGTCTCCACCACACTTCGTGGCAGAGAGTTCCAATGCTGAACAGCTCTCACAGGTAGGAAGTTCTTCCTGATGTTCAGGTGGAATCTTCTTTCCTGTAGTTTGAAGCCATTGTTCCACTTAATTCGACTGCTGTGTTCAAAATACAAAAGTAGTTTGCATTCATTTAACTCAGCAGGAAGGAGAGGAGGAGGTAGTCTTGCAATTCCTAAACAGAGTACATAGATTCTTGAGTCTTTCTGCTTAAAATAAGGGTTTTGTGTGTTCTCCCCATTACTATCCTTTGCCTCTCGTTGTCAAAACACATCTTTTTGACTACATTCTCTGCGGCTTGGTTGCAGATATTCCAGGTTCTCATCTGTGTGGTCTTGGGTGGCCATGAAATTGTCCTCACTACAGAGGTAGAAAATGGAGACTGAATAAAGCGATAGGGAAGTTAATGGCACCAATTCAAGTTTCATGCTGCTTTCTGGGGGTCTAATCTGGAGCCCCCGGTGGCGCAGTGGGTTAAAGCACTGAGCTGCTGAGCTTGTTGATCGAAAGGTCGCAGGTTCGATTCCGGGGAGCAGCGTGAGCGTCCGCTGTCAGCCCTAGCTTCTGCCAACCTAGCAGTTCGAAAACATGCAAATGTGAGTAGATCAATAGGTACCGCTCCGGCGGGAAGGTAATGGTGCTCCAAGCAGTCATGCTGGCCACATGACCTTGGAGGTGTCTACGGACAACGCTGGCTCTTCGGCTTAGAAATGGAGATGAGCACCACACCCCAGAGTCAGACATGACTGGACTTAATGTCAGGGGACTACCTTTACCTTTTTTAATCTAGAGGTCTCAAACTTGTGGCCCTCCAGATGTTTGGGCCTCCAATTCCCAGAAGTCCTAGCCAGCTTGTCCAATGTCCAGGAATTGTGGGAGCTGAAGTCCAAAACACTTGAAGGACCATAGATTTGAAACAACCGGTCTAATTCATACAATTCTTAGGGTACCAAATGCCTTACCCATTTCCAGGCTGATTCCCTTCCTAGCTGACATACAAAAGCTAACTGAGTTACCAGTAAAATATTATTTGTGCAATATCTTTCAGCCTACGCAGTTGTAGGGGTATATTCCACTTTTACTGTCATGGAACTATCTTATGGAATCCTGGGATATACATTTTGGGCCATTTAAAACTCTGAGCCAGAGAGCTCTAGGTCTCCAAACTACAAATCCCAGGATTCCTTTCAAGACAATCATGGCAGTCAGAATGGAATATAGTTAACAATACCACCCTTTATCACATCCACATCATTTGGCTAGTTTAGACAGCTGAAAGCTAGTTATCATCTGACAGGGAAGAACAACTGGAAAGTTTAATGAGAACAGCTTCAGGACTGCCCCACAGCATCTGCTGCCTGAGGTGGCTGCATCACTTTGCGTAACAGGAGGACTAGTGCCTCTCAAGAATCCAATGGAATTATATCAATATTGATGAGTTCCTGTTGTGTCCAATTCTGGGCACCACAATTCAAGAGAGATATTGACAAACTGGAATGTGTCCAGAGGAGGGCGACTAAAATGATCAAGGGTCTGGAGAACAAGCCCTATGAGGAGCGGCTTAAGGAGCTGGGCATGTTTAGCCTGAAGAAGAGAAGGCTGAGAGGAGATATGATAGCCATGTATAAATATGTGAGAGGAAGCCACAGGGAGGAGGGAGCAAGCTTGTTTTCTGCTTCCTTGGAGACTAGGACGCGGAACAATGGCTTCAAACTACAAGAGAGGAGATTTCATCTGAACATTAGGAAGAACTTCCTGACTGTGAGAGCCGTTCAGCAGTGGAACTCTCTGCCCCGGAGTGTGGTGGAGGCTCCTTCTTTGGAAGCTTTTAAGCAGAGGCTGGATGGCCATTTGACAGGGGTGATTTGAATGCAATATTCCTGCTTCTTGGCAGGGGGTTGGACTGGATGGCCCATGAGGTCTCTTCCAACTCTTTGATTCTATGATTTTGTCCCTTTGGCCAATAGTGATAAGTACGTAGTCTAGTAACATCTTTCACTAACCAAAGTTTCTAAGAAGTTTACAAATTCATGGCAACTTCCAACAAATTGCAGTCCTTTTTAGTGAATGTTTACCATGATGTATGTACCTGCAGACTTTTTTTTTAAAAAATCCATGATGGTATAAATATGAGATAATAATAATGATAATAATAATAATAATAATAATAATAATTATTATTATTATTATTATCACCAGGACCTCAAAATTGATCTGTAAGGCTCTGGCATAAACCAGTACAGTACTGAGTGCCATGCCAAAAGACCTAAGCCAGCATTTGGAAACAATAAACTTTGACAAAATCACGATCTGTCAACCGCAAAAGGCCACCTTACTTGGATTTCCGCACATTATTCGAAAATACACAGTCCTAGATGCTTGGGAAGTGTTCGACTTGTGATTTTGTGATACAAAATCCAGCATACAGATCTCGTTTGCTGTGACATACTGTGTTTTGTGTCAGTAAAATAATAATAATAATAATAATAATAATAATTTTATTTCTTTCCCATCTATCCTCACAGCTCTCTTTAAAAGTTATTGGTATATTTCCTGATCTTATGAATTGGCAGCAAATGTGTAGCTGTACACCTTTCAGCCAGACAAACCCAGAAAGAAAACTCTGCCACAAAGTTTTGAACCATGGAGATGAAAGATGGGAATGTACAGAAAGACAGCCCGTGATGATGAAATACAATATCTTGATGCTTTATCTCTTTGGCTTGAGTTACAACTTTGTGACAATGTTAACTATACTCTTTAATCAATGTGGATTGATCAAATATTGCCTCTATTACATTTGGTGTAGAATTCAAAAACATGTCATAGATCTACATAAAGTACATTGTTATTGTCTATATAATTTGAACTCATGGATATGGCTTACTCAAGACATTTAACCAGAATTTCAGTAACTTCCAACCTCAAGACCAAACTCAGTCTGGAGCTATCAACAGAATAAGTCCACTTCCTGGTCAACACTGCACAGCTAACAACAGACACCTGAGTATCACACTCCATGTATTGCAAACTGACTGACTTCTAGATGTATTTTCATGCTCCTGTTTCTTCCTTGAAAATACTAGCAAATCCATTGTTTTCAGCCAAATCCTCTGACACAATTGCAGAACAGACTGAAGACAGGAAATGGCAGAACTACACTGATGGTCACATGTAGCTCCCAATTGAGAGCACTCAGATGTATCGCCAATTAACTACTTATTCTGGACAATAATGCTGTCCTCAAAGGCTCTTTCTTGATGGCAGGCCTTTACTGGCTTACAGACAGCTTCACAATCTCAAACAGTTACTTTCCTGCAGGATGACACAATACAACATGGATAGGGAGAGCAATGTCCAGTCTCGATAGAATAGTGAAGAGTAGAGACATCAGACTGACAACAAAGATCCGCCTAGTCAAAGCCATGGTATTCCCTGTAGTCACCTACGGATGTGAGAGCTGGACCTTAGGGAAGGCTGAGCGAAGGAAGATCGATGCTTTGAACTGTGGTGTTGGAGGAAAGTGCTGAGAGTGCCTTGGACTGCGAGAAGATCCAACCAGTCCATCCTCCAGGAAATAAAGCCCGACTGCTCATTGGAGGGAAAGATACTAGAGACAAAGTTGAAGTACTTTGGCCACATCATGA